TGTAATGTCCAGTGGCTTGAACTTGAATTATAAAGATTGCGAATATCGCAACGAGGAGAAGGTCTTGAAGTTTCATCCTTTTATTTTTGTCAATATTATTTGTGGAAAATTTTATTTCTTAACTTTAGGAGGATGTATTCAATATTGATTGTGATGAAGGATAGATCAAGCGAAATGGTTAACCTTTTATACATGTTCAATCTTCTGCGCCGTCAATAAATCAGACTTCCATTATCAAAATGATCACATCATTGTGTTAACATTTCTCTTTTTGTCTCCCCAAATTAAAAGTTCGTCTGCAGTAGTTAATTTGATCAACGGAGTTCAAATTATTTTATTGATTCAATGAGATCTTTTGATCTGCAACTCCATTTTCGGACTGCCTTTTTTGGCAAATAAACAAAGTATTTTCCTAAATATGGATAATTTCGGTAATGGGGCCATTTTTCTTTTTTTATTTTGATTGAGCAAACTTTCATGCAAAATTCATTTAACGTACATACATCATTCTCGTTCAAATGATTTTATAAATAGATATTACAATTTAAAGGACAATAACGCCCTATTCTCTGAGCCCAATAATTGAAACGCAGAAACATTTTAATTCCACTTTCTGCGCCATATTTCTTAAAAATTTACGATTTTAAATCCAATTGATATTGTTACATTTAATATAGTTTCGCCGTAAAAAATAATCATAAAATTGAATTTAGTTAGTCCTTGTAGATCAATTTCGAACTTTTTCGTTAGGGTACAAAATTGTTCTAATTAAAAATTTAATATATACTGTATATGCTGGGATTTGGAGTTCTTTGAAATAACACATAGTTCGCCTTCCTTCCTTTTGCATACATACACCTTACCTCCCTTCCCTTTGCGATATCATCACTTTCGCCACTTCACAAAATACAAATTAAAAATAAAAAAGAGAAAAATCTGAAATTAAAATAAACGTATTTTAATTAATTAGCATTTTTAGTGATTAGCATTTATTTGAATTAATAAATTGAAATTTGCGAAAGTGTAGAGCGCTGTTGATTTTATTAAATAAATTTAGCGTCATAGTTAATTCAATATTCTTTAATTAAATCCTTCTGCTTACAACACAAATTGTTTATAATACATGAACGAAAGAACTGAATACAACGGGGATAATCACTCCAAAAACCGAGAGATCAAAAAAATAAAGTAAGTATACGGATTACGAGAAATCTTAAATTTGCAGTACTTATATTTCATTAACATTGGTAAGAAATTCGATGTCATATTTATGAAATTTCTATCATTAATTCCGGTCATGAACTGTTTTATATCTTCAAATAAATGAAGTCTAATTAATCATGCAGTTTTTCTCTTTACCAATTATTCAGCAGAAACAATAGATTTAGAATCAGATTAAAGTTTGACGTTGATTTTAGTTTTGTAACTTTGACACTGTCTATGAGTTTTGGTAAGCATCATCATTTACCACACCCTAAACTTATATAATGAGTTTCGCGTGATTACCATCAATAAAAGCTCTGGCACGTGATTTTATATGCTTAATGTGGCGAATAGTTTTTTTAATAATTAATCCCACGCCACAAGTGAGGGTGGCGTCTGTGACAAATAACGATTGACAAATAGGATATCACACCTTAAAAAAAGAGATTGGAACCGGATTTATTTAATTTCAAAAAAATCGGATCCGGATTTAATGTGGATGTATTATTCCTTCGGTCTAATCGAATTGTAAGAACCTTTTTTTATTGTACCAGCATGTATTCGTTCACAAACGGTAAAAATAATTGCGGTCATAAGCTCAGTTTGCCAACGTACAATCAAAGACTTTTTAGCGACCGACCATTCGACTTTCCATGTAATGATTGATGTACTGCACATCAATTTATTGAATTTACGGTCAATTGGTTGGTTAAACTGGTCCTTAAAGGCAGTGTTGTCCATTTTCCATGTCCCAAGTCACCTGTGTCTACTTTTTCATTTTTATGATGTAAGCACCTAATTATCAATTGGTTAATTTCGGTCAAGTTTTATAATGCTGACCAAAAAAAACATGGGAATGAATATCTTAGTGATAATACTAGGGTAAAAAGTATTATGTTGCACATCAAGCATCATAGTTTTTTTTTAATGGTGATCCAAAAGCATAAAGCAATTAATCAAATATGTATGTATTTGCTCAAAGCATATAATTTTTAATTATAATCCAAAAAAGTATAATAATCTGTATGACTAAGCATTTAAATTAAGCGAAAAGGTGATTCTCTTTCAATAATTATTTCATATTTGATAGCATATGAATGATATATTTTTTACAATCAATAATTACAAATAAAATATTAATAATTACTTTTCTTTTTTTCACCTTTTTTTTTGATTTGAGAGATTCGATATATTTTATGCTTTTTAATTTCAATTTGAATTTTTGAATGAAAGTACTCATTTTGCCTTATAAAATTAAATTTTGGATAATCTCTGATGCGGTATTTATTAAAACTTATCAGATCTTTTTCATTTGATAAAATCTCAATTCTTCAGATTTTCATGACGTCGTCAAACTACAATGTATAATTTCAACTAATCAGTGACCATCATATTAATGAATCCTATTGCTGCACTTCCTAAGGAATTTTACAAAAGCAGATTAGTTTTAAAGGATAATAAAATAAAATAAATAATAATTTCTTTATTTTAAGAATAATTTTTCTTTAAAAGATATTTTTGTTCATTTTCATTTTTTTTTTAAAAAAAAAAGATGAAAGAAAATAATGTAAATTTTAAATGTTATATGTTAAAGTTTGATAATATTTATGTAATCAAATCATTCCAGTAAAATGTAGATCAGACTGATGTCGTGATTTTGAACATTTTAGAATAAATTACATTTTCCATATTACTTGAGCTTACTAATTATTAATACGGTTATGTAAAGTTTAAAGATTAAAATCAAATATAGTTTTAAGCAACACAGTTCTACTGTTAATCTTTTATTCTCAAACAAAGACCACATTTTTAACGACTCAAAGTGCAAATAAATATCAAGAAGACATATGACGTCATAATTAACATACAAAGAATTTTCAGAAACAACCAGATACAACCTACGTAAAAGGCTAAGATCTGCTACATCAGGCTCAACTGAAAACAAAAGAAGTTTGTTTCCTTTCTGGAATAAATACACGTAGAAGGAATCAAAGAAGTAGTGGTTACCTGAAAGGTTTAGATTTAATTGTTTGTTTACTTTGATTTAGAGATGTTAAAATCCAGTCCAGTCTTAGTCTGGTCCTGAACCTTCCAGTCTTAAAGAAGACTCAGTCCTAGAACTAGATTCTAGAACTAAGTCTCAAGACTGCAGTCCTAGGATTACGGTCCTATAAAAATTAGGACTTGTGATCCTTGAAATACGGTCTTATAGAAAAATAATCATTCAAGAAGAATGATGACAAATCATTTGACTTGAATAATAAAAAAAATAATTATTCAAAAAGAATGATAATGAATCATTCAACTTTGATGATAAATAAAATCATTCAAGAAAAATGATAACAAATTGTTCGACTTGAATGATTATTTTTCTATAAGACCACAATTCTAAAACTACAAGTTCTAATTTCTATAGAACTGCAGTCCTATAGTTCAAAGAACTTTGAACTGGACTGGACTTTGTAGGACTGTTTGGGACCTAGTCTCATAGGACTTTTTAACATCCCTACTTTAATTTATTATTTTTTTTATTTTACTAACTTTTCTATTAGGACTAATTATGCTATTTCAGATTCGAGCTTGTGGAATAATTCTTTGAGAAGAATGGGACTCAGCTCGTGATACTCAGTATAAATGTTAGTGTTAAAAGTAGTGAAGTTAGAGAACTTGCAAAAGAATTCTTTGCAATCATCACAGTGTTTATGGCATAACATAATGGATTATGTTCAGCCACAAATTATAGAAGGAAAAGAGATGCTGCCTAAGAGATTTAAGTGTTTCAAGAAGAAAGTGAAGAAAGTTCTAGTAGACAAGATATAACGAATTCACATTTATCTTTACTAGCAGGAGCAGCTAAAACTCAGAAGATAGATAGAAATAGCATGATAAACATACAATCAGTGTCTTATCGCAATTGAAAAGAAGGTATCAAATAAGAAAAAAAGGATCTACATATACTATGTTTAAATGCCAAAAACTTCAATGATACTAAATTCAAATGGATTCTCAAAACTCCCTATGACATTCGTGATGAAGCAATGAATGACTTGCTTAAAGGATTTTCTTCCAATTTTGCTGCTAATCATAAAAATTTTAAGATGAAGTTCCGTTTTAAAAAGGATTCTTAACAGTCTATCACAGACTTATCAAAGCATTGGGTAAATCTTATGGTGAATATTCATTCCTTCCTAAAGGTGTGAGCGAAACCTAAATCTTAAGATCGAAACGTTTCAGCTTTCAAGAACTAAAATCCGAAACTTTCTGATAATTCAAAACTAAGATGAAATTAGTGAAACTGGCGAAATTGGCGAAACTAGACAAACTAGCGAAACCTTCTGAAACTAGTTAGCTAATCAAAATAAATGCTGATTTAAACCTTTAATACTATTTAAAATAAATCTGTGTTGATTAATCAATAAATTAATTAAAGTTGCTATGCTAATTAATGTGCTATTTACACATAATATACAATTAGCATATAATTTATTATTTATTAATTCAATATATCTAAAAACAAAAATTTCATGCCTAAAAAAGTAAAGCAATTGAAAATGAAAAAAAATATTTTGTACTTTGTGAAATCAAATATAGTTAGTTAAATAGTTGATCATCAAAAAATAGCAACTAAAATTAGAAATTGACTCCTCACCTTTTTTAGATACACCGATACCACATTAAAAAAATAAATATTATTTATCGTAACACTAATTTTTTATTATTATTCTTTCCATTCAAAAATCAAAAATAAATCTAATGCTATTATTAATCATTAACTAAAATAATTATTTTATATTTTCAAAGAAATTACAAATTTAAGAAAATAAAAATTAATATTTTAATTTTCATTTAAAATCAAATCAGCTTCTCTTTCAGGATCCCAATTTTCTTCAACACTATTATTATCTTGAATGCTAATTGTCTCATTATCATCACTATCAGTAATATCAAAAGTATCAACAATTATATCTTCTAAATCTTTTGTAAAATCATCAGCATGAAGGTTTAATAATTCTTCAATATTAAGTATTTCTTCTTCAGGAATTGGAAAAATATTTTGTTCTACTTCATTAATAAATTCTTCTTCCAAGTTTTCATCATCATAAAGATTTGCATTATATAAGATTTCATTTAAATTTTTAATAGTCTTATTAATAGAAAAATAAGGCAATTCATTTTTTGAATTTGCAAGATAAAAAGCAGAAAGTTTTTGCATATTTTTGATTTTGCCTAATGAAAGTCATGTACGATGTTTGCCATAATACCATTCTAATGTTGATCAAATCCTCTCACAACCAGCTGTATGTGGTATTATTGCAAATAACTTATTAGCTAATTGACAAATATGATCCTCATTTTTAGGAAAGCTATCTTCAATAGAAAACTACCAGGTAGAAGGAGATTCATTATCATCAAAAAATATATTGAAAGATGCAATGCAACATTGATAATTTCTCCTTTGAGCCATTAATACTTTTCTTTCCTTTGGTGTTTTATTCATTTTTTCATAATGTTCATCTGCTGCAAGAAGAATTCGTCGAAATGTTCCTCTTGCCCAAACTAAATCTATAAATAAATTATAATTATTTAATTATTATATAATATTTAATTTTTTAATAAAAAAAATATATATATTTTTTAATTTACCTTTATATTCAGGATGTAAAAAAAGCATAAAATATAAGCATTATCATCAAAATCAGCAAATCGTTTATTAAAAATATTGATGATGATCAGATGTATGTAAAACAAAATTCCAAATTAATTCATTAGAAGGATTACTCCATCCATCACAAGCTAAATAATTAATTAATTATAATTTTTAGAATTTAATTTTATAATAATATAAAAATAAAAAATAAAAAAAAAACTTACCTAACGTTAGATTCTCAGAATTTTTTAATTGTTTAATTATTTCTTGATTAATAAAAGCTGTTTCTTGCGCTAAATGTCGTCCAAAAAGAATATTTTTTGATGGAGGTTCATATGCTGGACGTAAAGTTTTTAACAGTTCAATAAAGAATGGATTTTCAATAATGTGAAAAGGAATTTCACAAATAATAAATGCTTTTAATAATGCGCAGGTTATCTCTTTATTACGTTCAGGTGTAAGTTTAGTACTTTCAGTATAATCAGAAAGTTTTGTTTGAGTTAGCTGAAATGGTTGGTAATAAGTTTTCATTTTTTGAAGAAGGCTCACTAGTTTCACCTGCTTTTATTGCTAAACGTTCTAAAAAAAAGTCCCGAATCTCTACCAGAACTTTTACACACAAATTTCCTAAGTGGTCTTCAAGAGTTGCTGGTAAGCCTTTATACCAAAAGGCTCCACAAAAATTACATGTCGCGTTCCAATGACTTTTGAAATTTGCTTTCCTTGTTGAATATATGTTCCCCAAACTATTGATTTAGGTTTTCCACCAACTTTTCGTTTAGGCAATGAAGTATCATCGGTTGAAGTACTTGAATTAGCCTCCATTTTGTAAGACGCGAATGCATTAATGTTTGTCTTACCAATAATGTTATATATTTGATTTTCACGTGAATAATTAAGTTTCGGAGAATTTCAATTAATTCGGATTGAATTTCGGATTTGGGCAGTATCGGACTCAATCGGACATTTCGGAAATTTTTTGTTGAGGCGTAACTAATATCGCCTAGATTTCGGATTCGGATCGGGCGTA